GCAACACTGTAATCTAAAAATGACGCTAGAGGTAAATCTTAAGAAGAGGACTACATGCACATACCCTTGGGACAAAGGGTGTCGGGTGCTGTACGCTACAAGACTACATTGGGAGGGGTAGCTGAAGGGTTCAGGGCGCAGGAGGCAGTGACAACATTGCTGGGAGAACCAAAAAAGTTTAAATAGATTATTAGGACAGGTGAGTGGGTAACCAACTTACTTGCACACTGGGGGTGAAGGTGGGTATCGAGACGGACACACCGAAATCCGCCAATTTGATCAGATACCCCCTAGATAGCCGCAGAACCTCCTCCGGACTGAACGGCACCAGGCCGGGGTGGTAGGTGCCGACGCAATCGGTGTACTCGTGGGAGAGCATGGCCGACGGATCCAAGCCCGATCCTGGCGCTGGGGTGATGAGCAGGTTGGCCGGCTTTATGTCTCGATGGATGATGCCGTTTGCGTGGAGGTAGCCAAGACCGTCGATAACCTACGGAACGACAAGTCTACGTGAGTTATGTAACCTCTCAACCAACCAACAGCACGTTCGATGTCGAGCAAAAAATGCTTCTGTTGACCGAACACAACCTTCTAAGTCAATGTATGAACACATGCTTTTCACTGCTAGCCCACCGGCATCAAAAAAGGACTTCTGGTGGAAAATTGTGGCGGGCGATAAAAGCTATATTTTGCACGAGAATCCCAAACGTAGAAGGCCGTGGGTAAAGTCCTGGCAACCAAGGTACATCGACGCGAAACATGCATCCACTAGATGATGAAGGTTCTCCTGTACTAAGGGTCTACTTCATTACGAACTTCTGGAAACTGGTCGTCAGAGGGTGGCCGTGGAATGCTATCGCCGATAATTGGGCAAACGGAGCGAAGAACTTGATCAGAACAGGCCAGTTACTGGGCAAGGCATCAGGCAAGTCATACTGCTGTAGCATGACAACGCTAGACCACTTCACGCTGCTCGTGCGACTCAGAAGACCCTCTTGAACCTGGGATGGCAAGTTCTCCCACACGCGGCATATTCACCAGACCTGGCCCCATCCGACTAACACCTGTTCCGGTCAATGCAGCAGCAGCAGCAGCACCCCTCAATGGATTAACAGCTCAAAACGCTGGACAATGTGCGTGAATTCGAAGCCTGCAAGTTCCTTTCGCGACGTTACCTGAGAGATGGAACAAGGTCATAGCAAACGATCGATAATATTTCCAAGATTAACTTCTTTGTTCATTATTTTTTTGTATTAAATGAATTTGGTAAAAAATCTGTAACAATCAAGTCGTACACAAATGTTTTGACGGCCTCTGCAAATACAGCCCGACAGTTCTTCCCGGATCGATTTCTAGCGGGAACCCAAGCAATCTAATTCTTCCAGGAACTCCTTTCCAGAATCTAAGGACTTCAAATTCAAACTTAAACGGGGACACTAAAACTTTGAACATGCGTACGCCAGTGCACAAACCACGACTCACCTGTATGAAATAAGCGTGCGCCTGGGCTTCCGGAAGCCTTCTGAACTGCTGAAAACCCAACGTGCCGGCTTCCGATTGGTCTGCCTTGGGGTGGTGGGCCTGCGACCAATCAAAAGCCGACTGCTTCCGTAGGCCAGCGACTGCCGGCGGTTTGCCGTAAGAATGCATCGGAGCCTCGACGTCGTCCATGGTTGGTAGCGTTGAGGTGCGATGGAAGGCCTCCGTGGTGGAGTGCAGGTGTGGGTGGGGGGCGTTGACGGCGCCGGTGGGAGTGTCAGCGGCGTCGTCGTCGCCGTCGGCGCCGGTAGGGGGGGAGACGGGGAAGGAGGCGTGCACCCCGGCCGCCTGGAGGTCGTGCACCGAGCCCAGGCAGTGCTCCATCACGAGGGCGACGCGGTCGGGCGCGGTGAGGCGCAGCACGGTTGCCACGGCGACTATGTGGCGGTGCGGCGCCAGACTCCGGAGGATGCAGGCTTCTGTTAGGGCCTGCGACCAGCCACCGGGAATTTTGCGAACACCGAGTTTGGAGACTATTTTCACGGCGCAGCGGCGCAGCGTGACGAGGTCAATGCAATCCTTCACCTGTTTTTTTGCGGTGGGCGAAATTAACGATCAAGGAGCTAGGCAATTGTCCACGTCAACGATAAAATTAACCGGTTTGTTGTTATGCCCGAGGGCGTACATGAAGAGGGAGGGGAAAACTGTGAGCAGAACAAAGGTTTCCCCGAACCAAACCACACGAATGGTTGGATTGAAGACGTTTTGTGATCGACACACACACGCACACCAAAAAGATGGTCGAAATTAGTTTCAGATCACCTACGATTGCCTCTTTCCCCGCTTGCGAATGCAACTTTGACCAAATCAGTTGCAGAGGAGTAAGTGTAGCCAGTACGTGAAACAACTCAATGACTTACTCGCAGGAATCTCCAGTCGGCCACCAGTAACACCGATTGCCCCAAACCGCATGGAGCCACGCATCAGCTACCCTGATCGAGTTCATTACCTTCAGCTTCTGGCAAATTCACATGTTAAGTAATTGTGCTTTGTGCGTGTGTAACCAAAGCAGGCGAAGACACAAAAGGGTGCGGAAAGCGTGTTGGCGAGGGAGGAGGAGGAAGGAGGGGAGGCATAGGTGCCAAAAGAAAACACGTACCTTGCCATAACTGCCCCGTCCGATCGTCCCACCGAGGAGATACCGTCCGGCAAGGACTTTGGGGGGTTTACTGTACATCTGACGATTTCCTCGACGGTCTAAGGACAGGGAGAAGGGAAGACTACTGCTGTTTGCAGCGCCGACCGCGTTGTTGGGGTCACCACAACTCACTGGGAGAGTCGCTGGTTGGGCGTTTGGGAACTAAAGACGGAAGGTGGAGCAGACCCTTGAAGAAAGCGCGCAAGTCAGCGACACGCATTTGCATGACTGACTGAACTTGGAGAGCATCTGTCGAAGTAAATAGGCCCGAGAATTTTACGAGGCCGCGGCACACTCGCTTGAGTTGCCCCAAAGTAGCCGGACCAGCCCAAGTTAACCAGGTTGGTACTATAGCGTGCCGAGACGCCAACAAGCGAGAGTGGAAATTGCCCCACCCACCCACGACACAATCACGTGTCTCCGCTTTCTCCGATGAACCAAACCGGCTAAATGAAATTCCCCACGCTTTTTCAACTTAGGGCGGACTTGCAATCGACATGTAACAACCAGGCATAAACGAGACACGACGACACCTTCCTCACATGTACCGAAAGTGCGCAGTCCAAGCAGTTCATGCTGCTAGGAATTCAACTAAAATGAACTTGCAAAGTAGTTTCAGGCCCTACGTGAACATCGGAATGTTACAACTAAGAAGGTGGTTGTAGAGATTGAGAACACAGGGGAGGTAATGAGGGATTGGGCAACACGGTTGGCCCCCTACAAGCCACCACCTACTCTACACAATGAGGGCAGCCTCAGGCTGCAACGCTGTTGGGTATCGAGCCGGGATGTCAAGAGATGGCATTGGCTCACAGACGGAATCAAATGGGACGCTAAAACGACAGACAACGCCCTGACTTCTCCAAACTCCATTAAGGCAAAAAAAAACAAACATTTTGCATTCGGTTGACAGGAGGACTTGAGAATACACGGCAATGTCGTTTAAAAAGAACACAACGACTTGGATGAAAGCATGACAGTGCATACAGAAGTCACCACAACAATGTCGAGAACACTTAACCCACATTCCGACGTAAAACCTGATGTATAGACAAAGCAAAAGACTGTGTGGCAAAAAAAGATTAAATTTAGGTGTGATGGAGACCTAGGGGGGAGAATCTAAGGCTAGAAGTAGGCGAATATATCATAAACTTGTACCCACGTAAACTAGAGTATTTTAAGACAAACGAAAGGAAGTCACTTTGGTCACATACTGGTTCAGTGCCCCTCTTGAGATGAAGATTCTGTTCCCACATAAAACAAGATAACCTCCAGACATTCAGCGTCACGCAGGCAAGGGGAAAAAGAGGCAAACATGTCAACAACAAATCAACAGTCTACACGAGCCGCCTCTATGAGCAAGTGATGGACACATTTTGCAAAACGCTCAGTTTGAGTACACCAATTGCGTACAGTGCAGACGTGAGTGAGCTCCAGTCGTGAACTGATCAGATCTAATATCGATAAAGGACGCTAACAGCGAGGCCTCAGGCGTGAAATGATGAGAAAGTCGGACAAGTCTGTGTCCATACATCGGATATTAATAGTAGTGGTGCCTTAACTGAAGGAAAATTCACACACACACACACACAAAACGCCAATTTCAAACCAAATTTTCTGCTTTGGAAATGGTTACTACCAGAAACTGGAGTAACAATTTTATGAAAGATCGGATAAACTGTTTCTCCGATAGAGCCGTCTGGAACACTTCTCCGCGCCCTTGACCTGATTCGTCACGAATGTTTCCGGTTTCACCTGCCCTGGGTGAGGCCTTCTCAATTGGGGATTCAAGAGACGCCTAACTAGACATCACGGAAGAAAATTATCCGGTTATGAATACACACACACACACACACACATACGTACAAGGGTCCAGGCTGGTCTACCTACCGCAACAAAACTATCACACTGAAATACCGTACACAAAGCGTAAACTTGAAAATTCCTCACCAAGTCTACAGGAAGGCGCAGTGAAAAACACCTCGTTTCTGCAAAGTAACAGCTACAATGCGCCACACAATGTCAGCTGTTAACTGTCAAGGCCAGTAGAGGATGGAAAAGGTTATCACAAGCGCATGACGTTGTTTATAAACCGTGTCCACACGCCATAAATTAAAATGCAAGTGTGAATTGTGAATAGCAGGCCGAAGGTGCGTTGGTCCGATATCACGCATCTACTCTCAACAACAAAAAGTCTAATCAACTGACATTGCAGGCTGATTTGCCGCACAACAGCAAAATGCAAATTTTGACCTATTCGGTGGTCACCGCTAGACAGATTTGACGGGTACACTGACTTCATGAAGGTATCGACATTCTGGCGAATTGAATTCAAGATTTGAGGTCAACATGCAACTAGCTTTTGAGGAAGATTTTGTGAGTCAGATGAAGCCATGAGTTTACCTGGGTTATTCAGACAATTGAGTTTTCGAGTACCACATCTGTCAAGCCCGAAGTCAGATCAAGAACCCGATCCAGATTCTGTTGGCCTGCCCAGGGTTTTAAATTACCAATCTACCAAACAGACCAAAATCTGACGCAGAGTGGGGAGCACGAATAGATTCACCTGAGACCGGAGGAGTTAGGGAATAAAGAGGATCATATTACACACATGGAGATATCGTTTTTCCACCGCTGATTAGGGAGGGGGCGGTGTAATGCGAGGGTATTTCCGAGGTTGTGGAAAACGAAGAGAACTCTTATAATCGATGGCGGAGGAACCTTGTCATGGTAATGCCCAACTAGCCGACCGAATCGATAGCGGTAAATAAGTACAAGGAGGAACACAAGACAGCCAGCTTCATCGATTGCACTAGCTTTGTGCTTTACCGTACCCACAAGCGAGACCACATGACTGACAGTCGCTGGCACGTGGCGATTTCTGGAATCGACACAGAAAGAGGGTGGAGTCGAAGCAATTACGTAAGGATGGATGCGTGTGTGTGTGTGTGTGTGTGCACTGCTGCTGTCAAAGTGGGGTCACCACACCCCCAAAACCGCAACAGCCCAGCCTAGCGTGGGGTGCAGGTTTCTGCAGTCACAGATGGGCAAGCAGTTAAGCAATACTTATATTGTTTGAAGGGAGACGCGTTGGGTCAGGGGAACCATTGTTAACGAACAAACGACCGCGAAAGTAAGCAAACGAAATGCCAGATGAATCATCTGGTGCTGCGGTCAGAACAAAGAGAAGGTAACAAATTCGCTGACAGCAGACGAGCGAAGTCAACCTGCATAGTGGGGCATATTCAGGCCCAGGATTACAAGCTGGACCGGGACTCGTGGGAGATGGCCTTCCAGGAGGCGATAAACTATTCTAACCATGGCCGAGGAAGTGGAATAGCCAGGCTTTAGCTCTTCCTTGTCGTGGATTCCTGTGGGAATTAAAATCAACGCCTTGTCGAGAATTGCGCTCTCACGAGAATCGGACACGTGAGGTAAATGGGATGTGGAGAAATACATGACCCCAGCACAAACTCAACGGCCACGAAGGTGTTGACAGCCGAAGAGTGGAACGTTTGCGCAATTACGAGTGTTTTGATAGCAGGAATACAGGCGTGACATCTTTCACTGGCATAACTGCACACAGCTTTGACACTAGTACACGTGACTGTTAACTGCCATTCCTAAAAATTGGCATACAAGAGGCCTGAAGGCATGTTGGCTCCATTCAAAAGCGCCTAATGGGAAAGTATTCATTCGCTTCAGATTACCACTGTAAACTGATGCTCACAAATGTGCTAGCAGAAATGGGATCTAGCCCTGGGAATGTTATACACTGAATGATGATGATGGTGATGGAGTTGTGGTAACGTCACAAAACAGTGGACATGTTGATCGTGGTAGAAAAGCGAACATCTGTGTCCCCGTCCTATGCTTGCCCCTGATACACTCTGCAAAAATCCACTTGTGGTAAGGTTTTGCCAACAGTTAGTAGAATCCAAGCATAGATTAGTTGATAATGCCAGGAGAAAGGGAGAGGCAGGGGATCAGTGTGCACGAAATCATTCGACATGCGCTGAAGTGGGTCCTGTGCTGAGGATGTCGAAGAGAAGGCAACAAGCGGTGTGGGAGGAGGAGTAAGAAGGGACTCCTTTCGCCGTAACTTGCTATCGATCAGTTGGTAGGACGACTACTGGCGCGTTTCAGTAGCACACGAGTCACGATCGAAATCTGAGGAGGCGGTGAGGAGAATGACCCGAGCTGCATCCAAGCCTTCACGACCAATGGCGCCAGTTCGATCGGACATGTTAGCATTACACCAACTAGCGTGACCTCCCGTGACGTCGACTAAAAGAACCTACCATCCATTACCCGGCCATTGTGTAGCAAGGGGGGCAAGCGCTAAAGGCCATTTAAAAAGAGGAGACGAATGAGAAACGGCGGACATCCACACACCACCACCACCACCTCCACGCGAAAAAAGGCGCCCGGGAAAAAATAGGAGAAAACAATCACACAAAAAACAACGCGATGAACTGTCTGGCAGTGCATTAGACCAGCAAAAAATCAGACGTGGCAATGCATTTTGCGAGAGAACGCTTGGCGAGTTGGCCTCGGAGCTAACTGATTCCGTGCAAAAAAGTTACTTGCTAGAATTGAAGCAAATGCACTCAAGGGAAGAAAAATGCCAGTCTCGGATTTCAAAGTCTGGTTCGAATTAAGTTTGAGCGTGGTGAGTTCATGGGAGGCAGGTTTTAGACAAGTTTTGCCGACACAATGAAAAAAAAATGGTTAAAATAAATCAGCCAATAGGGAAGCTTTTTTGCGTACGGGCACTTTCACAGACAGACGATTGGTTTAGACTACGCACAGCAACCATGCAAGTGGAAAGGGCAGGTAATGCATGTCAGTGCAGAGAATATAGCAACCGAGAAGGGTGTGATTTGAGTTCTGATCGACCGCGATACAGACAAGTAGAACACTCACATGTCTAGAAGCTGCACCGTGGCATGGTTAAATGGCGGGCGACAGCCAACACATAAACGGTGGTCTGCATATCAAACGGAATAAACCCACTGAGTGCATGGCGGACTGGAACACAATGTATACACTGCGGCCTTACACACACACACACACACTTTTTAAGGGCCTGAAAACATGAGCAAACAGCGTGCAGTCTACCGGTCAGCCGGAAGGCAGTAACGGCGGTGGAACAGAACACAAGGCTCTTGAGTCGACCCCAACTGTTCCAGCAACTAAATGTAAGGTATTGTTAGACCTGGCAGACGTAATGCTAAAGGACAAGCCGCTGAATTCGAGCAGTCGCCAGCGCACAAAGAGGCTGAGTACAGCGCAGCATTATCAGTCAAGCACAGGCGACAGATCTGTCTGCTGGATCAGCTATTTCGACCAACAGGTTGCTTTGTAAGTGCTTGGATTACCCAAATGATTGAGAGGAGTCGCGTCAAAGACAGAACACACACAAATGTGCTACACTAAGCATCCGGAACCCTAAGTACCCTAGCGGTTGACCACTTGAATGCCGGCACAGAAGTTCCACACAACGCTTCACTACGAACGCAATGCCTCTACCACAAAACCCACGTGCAAAGCAAGCCACTACAAAGTGCTGACTGTAAGTGAACAGCCATGCACTATCACAGAGGTGTTAGGTTACAGCATAAATTCAACGCCACAAACGATATTTGTACACATTATTTCTTGATGGAAAAAAACAACAAAAAACGTTTGTAAAGTAAGCTGCTTCAAGGGCACGACTGACCTTGATTTTCGTCTGATGAAACGAAGGACTGAAGCCGTAGTAAATGCTTATGCCAACACGCCTTTGCGTTGATATCAAAGGCTTGAATTAGAAAGCCATTTTTCCTGATTGGTTAATTAACTGAGCGATTTGTATTTGACGACTTGAACAACGAAAACAAATCATTTCTAACGCAACACATCACTTGCAATGAAAACTCAACTGCGCGCAGAAACGTAGGTCGGAAGAAATGTGAAAATCCATTAGCTACCATAAGGACTAGTAAAAGTCGATAAAACAGCGATGAATAAATGCAGTGAGGAATTTAGGAGAGGAAAACTTCGTTATCCAGTATCTTCGATGGACTACTGTGGTACACCGTGCGTAGTAACGTGTGATCATAAACCGCTGGAGTTTTTCAACATCAACAACCATGCAAAGAGGTGTGTCAAAAAGATTTGGGTGATCATCTGGGTCAAAAAACGATTACACGAATGATAGCTAGCAAAATTAGGGAAGTCGAAGTTCCTAATTTTCGATAATTCAAGCTGTGATGTTATAAATCTGCATATCCGTCAATAATCCTTTGTTAGATATTATTGAAAGCGGAAGAAATGTGGATTTCGAAACAATCAAGTCAACTGACGCGTTCCCTTAGAAACACAAGGAACAAAAACGGTTTAGTGGCATAGAATGGGCAGGATAATTACGAACACCAAATTGTTAAATCCCAATGGATGGTGCATCCAAGATAAAAATGGGCCTAGTCAAAGTCAGGGCTTTCGACGTGATCGGGTACTTTGCGTTTGTGGGATGATGTTGAGTAAGCTGGATCGTTTCCATTAAACCTTTTGACTAGCACAGAGGACTTAAAAATTGGCTGGACTGGATTAAAAACAACAAAGGATACGTCTAATATGTACTTCAAATTTTTAGATTTAACCGATATAACCCCAGTAAAATTACAGTCAATTTACAAAACTGGCAAACGTGGCTGAGTTCTTTGGAAAGACGAAACACGATTTAGTGTCAATAGGAAGAATAATGACGAGGATATTTTTGCACAACTGCACATGATTTCATTGCAGAAGCATGTGGAAATTCGGCGAAGGGTTAAAAAGAGCTACATAAAAAATGCCTCAAGTCGAATTTTACCATGAGCACAGAAAAGCTATTAGAAGCATTTAATACAGATTTGAATGCTTTAGAAGTGACTACTGTCGATGAAGGGTTTTCTGTTTACCTACCGACGATAATAGAATGCAAATCATTTAGCATTACAAGATGGAAAATACCAATGCATTTGGGATGTTTGGGGCAATGTTGCAATTAAAGTGCGACTGACACTTTCGGCACATCTCAGTCGGAAGATGTGACTACAGACACTTAGCATCAGTTTCAGAAAAAGCAAACACGCAAAACCAGGCCGGTGGATGTTTGGCTAGTGGGGCGGTTTCTGAGGTTCTACAGACTTTGCATTTTACTCGTCGGAAACTTGCCGGAAAAAGTACACAACTAAGCTAGAAAAGTAAGATCGCCTACAACGTTGCATTCATTCGGTAATTTCGCTAACCACATTAGAAAATAAAAATCAACTGCAAAAAAATTACAAAATGAGTTTATGTGGCAAATCTTAAGCGAAATTATACTACAGATCCCGACCTACTTCACCATAAGAAGTAAACGGGTTCACAGGTTGCGACAGTTCCCCGTATCGATCCATGTAAACTAGGTCTGGGTCGACATCATGCATGTAGGGGCTGGGGAAATTATGCTGGTTAAAAACATCTGAAGAATCGGTGATTTCATGAACGTTTTCGTGATCGAATGAATGCAGCATAGCCTGTTGCCAGTTTCTATTGGGCTGGGAGTATTGAGACATGCCATCCGATTCCTGTTCAAATTCTTCGAAAAAGTTCGCAAACGCCCCAACTTTTGTGGGGTGTTCAGATTCCTCCGAGGAGTTATGAGCACGAGCGTAATCCTGATCATCAGATTCTGCTGCTGAAAAGCGTACTCCAAGCCCGGACATCGAATTCGGATCAGAGGACATGAAGGAGCACACAGACCAAACACATGCATTAACTACAATAGGGTGTACTGCCACAAAAGGTATGCCTATGTTGACTAGCGCACCCAAAATGCACAAAATGCATTTGTTTAAATCGTCATCCTTGAACCCAATTTTCTAATATATTTATGCTTTATGGACAAACAATTTTACATTATTTATACACTGCAATGCGTAATGTAAAAGATGGCTTAAAGGGGTTAGTTTGGTCATTCACTTGGTTGTTTCAATATATATTTTATCAACTGATTCAAAATGTGTATAAGCCTATTGCAAACATATAAAAATACTTTTTAATCAATCTTGATTCGTTTTAAATAAAGCAATGTGCTAAGATGCATAGCATCGTGTTTTTTAGTCTAGGTGCATATTAAACGAAGAATCTTCATGATTTGAAATTCAGGTTCGGATTTTGCAAAATAGGCAGAGGGTGGCTTAACTTTTTTCTCACATTTCTGTTTGCCTAAGTCAGTTGTCTTACTTATTTATCGAAGCTGCGAAAATATTGACAAGTCGAGCCTTGGTCACACCAATTGACACTGGTCGACAACTGCCCGCTAAGTATTATCCTGGGTGCATTGGAATTGACTTGCTTTATTTATTAAATTTATTCTAATGTGTTCTCTAAAATATCTTCTTTACAATGTTAACTTAATTTTTTGGGTAAAAATATCAAAAAACTGGCTAAAATCTGACTACTTGGTACAGGCTCAGTTGCAGTTATTATGAAGTAGAATGTGTGGCTTTGTTGCTTTATTAAAAACTATTCTTGCTAACTATTCTTGAACCGCAGCTTTATATTAGAAATTTTTACCTGCTTAATAAATTTTGTTCACAAATTTTTTTTTTCACAGAAGTCTCGCACTCTAAATTCCAAATCTTGTTTAGTTAAAATCATTAAGTCTGCTATTTATTAGTACCAAGGTATTAATTTTGCATCCTAAACATCTTTTGATATGACTAAGGCATTCGCTTGTTAGTGTTTTGTTAAATACTCACGTAGATTTTTGGAAAGGGCCTCTTTTTTCGGTTACGATATTTCAAAACTGAAGTCCGAGGTGTTGTGCTTGTTTGAAAAAAAATAGATGCAGGAGGCTTTAAAAAAATTTAAATGGGATATGTGTTATGTAGAAGTTGCCTCGAGCCCAATGTCTACGTCATATATATTTATATATTGGTATCTGAATGCATAGCATTCCAGGAGTATGCAGTATTAACGGTCCATTCTTTTTTCTAAAGTGCTGTCTAGATGAGCTCTTAACGTTGGAGATTCAGCCCTTACTTCGGCGTTGCTATTATCTTTTAATAAGAGGAGGACCGAATCTAGTTATTCTTTCCCTAGATGTGGTTGTGATGTCGACAATTTTATGCAAACATAATGCTGTTTAAAGGTTAAGGAAACCAAATTTAACACATATGTACAATTAGGTAGTATGCTTAAAAAAATGAGAAATGCAGCACAATTTACACTGATTGAAATCGAAATCAGATGCATTACTCAGCGGCATTATCGGATCACTGCTTTCTCTTTCTTGTTCACACTATTGAGAAAAATTTGGTGCTACAAGGTTTGGCACCACTGAACTGTGCACAACTGCTGTTTTCACATTGAAATCACCAAATTCAGCCTACTTAGAAGAAAATAGGTAGTGTTTCATGTCTACCCGAAATCCACAATGTGGCATAGAGTGCACGTCTCGATTTGGTTAAAAACAGATTCTCTTTTAATTCAGTCGTTCTCTTAATCGATTTCTGTTTCTATTCTGTACATTTGTGCATCGCTTACATTCAAACCTTCGTTAGTTGATCCCACATGTTGCACATTTGTGAATGTCCTGTGGAGTCGGTCTCATGTCAAGTCAACCAATGCAACGCGAAATGAACACGACTGCCACCTCACTAATTCGAAACCCCCCGATTCGCGTTTCTAACTTGATTGAAGTTTTGCCTTAAATTTGGTTATGAGCAAGCCCGCATCCAGTCAACAGGATTGTCTGCCTTTGAAGAGTGTGGTGTGATTCGTGTTGATTCACGCTTGCTAATCTGGTCACTTCAGCCTGCGACACAGGGTCCCCCTTTTCGCAGCATGTCGCCAGCCATGCGGAACCTCAACTCTCCCCTCATCCACACGGACATCTATCTTGGATTAGCCTCGCACACAGGTCTCGATGTTAGCGCATGTATAACTCACACATCCGAGGTATAAATACACATGCGCAGACCCTACACACGACACAACGACACCAACGAGGTTGAGTTCTGAAGTAAGCGGTTGTGTCCACGTCCTCTCCGATCTTTTTCTTCATCGCGGGTATCAGGCAAGCGTAATCGGGCCAGGGTTAATTCCATGGCCCCGGCGTGTTTCAAGACCATATGCGGAGGTCCACAACAAGTGACATGACCTCGCACCGGTATAGTTTAAATTTCAATTTAAAGCGCTACCAGTCCCACATAATGCTACAAGCGCTTACATGCTCCATTGGCTATTGTTAGGGAATGTTAGTGGGCCTCAGTTATTGACCAGGTTTTTCAAAAATCTGACTCCAGAATATCTCGTTTTTGGTCGTCAACAAAGGCATTTCAAATGATCATATTTGACTCCAGGAGATTCGGTTCTTTGGAATTTACAGCTGAAACACACGCTCTTACTACTATATAATTGAGAGAAGTGAAATCTTCCAAACGTTGCCTAAAGCAGACGGCAGTGCTGTTTCACCTAAAGCGATTTCACGATTGGGTTAAACGCTTTCAGCTATTATGAGAACGAGATAAGCGTCGACCAGTGCGAGGAAAGGCCAACCACGGCAATGCTGCAGGAGCATCATCGAGTTGCAGCCAGCACTGCTGCCAGAAGTGCTTCGTTGGGCAATGTGATTCCTTTTTTTCCACCTGACCTTCGCAGAGAGGCATGACTGAGTTTGACTTTTCATAAGCGAGTGAGCGTGACGCTCGGGCGTGGTGCAAAGGCAGCGTCCGTGAAATTTAGCCAAAAAGAAAAATAATAAATAACAGATCCCAACACGCTAATCTCAAACGTGCGCAGGGCCTGCGGGAACAACTGCCGTGCCTTACTCAAACTGTCAGCGCGCATTTGTTTAAATGAATTTAAATGTCCGCGTTGTCAGTTCCCGCACACTACAAATCGGGATTCTTTGTTTATTTTTTTGATAAGCGGTGCTAATCTGCTCCCCACGACTACAGTGTCTGCATGGGTTGTCATTTCTGTAAAATGTCGCTAAATTGTAGGCACTAACATTTTTTTGCCAAAACCATCGAAAATCTGGCAGCGTGTGTATCGAGTTGGTTGTCTAAAACATTTCTTTTCATCAAGCCAGTTAAACGTGAATTTCTGTCATCATAAACTGAATTAAATAAAACGCACGCAATCAGCGATTCGACACATTTCCAAGTCTCACCTATCAAACAATATGGTGAATAGTCACGAATAACAAAAAGAGCAGCCAAAGATAAAATCTGATTGGTTCAACACGGTTTTCCTACCAAGGTTAAAATTCATTTTCATGGTAGACCCGTTGGATGTGCTTTTCTGAAATCAGCTTAGTACGAGGTCTGCGTTTACTTGAAGGTATTCACTATTGAATTATGCTGATTTTCTGTAAAGTGCCTTGAGAGGGGATTTGTGGTCTCTGAAGGTGGTGGGGGAGATTATCGTTGCATGGCTCCTCTCCTAATTGACGCTGGTCATAAATCTGAGTTAAGGCATATCGTAAGTCGCAAAATGGTCGTGCTCTCCCTTCCAAACACGCCGGCCGCGCTCATCCAAGTGCTTCTGAAGCAAGTACTGCGAAACCACGCAATTTGTTGGGTTTGCCCACCTGCATTCAAAATTAGCGCGATTTCCCTGGTGACTGGCGACGCTTTGTGATGGCACCCAGCCGGATCCAGTAGTTGATGGGCTGGCCGCTTGTCAGCATGCATTCACCGTCGCTGGATTTAGTTTGTACAGGCTGCAGTGACCCACATCTATACCTCGAAACCGTGTCTACCATACTTCGACACTGGATCGCTCCGCGAATCTGGCATCTCCAGCTTTCCTCTCCCAACGACATCGGCTATTTCGAAGCGGTCTTCTCCGTATCAGTATGTGGAACAATGAACCACAGTAAATATCGATCAATCAGTTAGCCACGGCACTTGTTCTAGCCGCATTTTTCCCCCCAGAGATAAACCACGTTGGAAATTATAAAGGAGAATTCATTTTTCCACTTATTAATGACCCAACAGACTGGAAAAGTCTTCTTCCAACGAAGCATTTTATTCGTTAAACTGGCAGCAAGATTTTCCCTCCACTAAGCGACCATGACGGAGGGCATATCGTGACGCGGTCTCATTATTCTGCCCTCAGAAGAGCATTTTTTAAAGATTACGCTGAATTTAAGACATAAAATGACGGCATGAATTACGCTTAGGTAGCGCCACAGTGCATTTGTAGGCAACTGGATTTTTGTGAATAAACCAGCTTTCACAATTTTAGCCCATGCAATTCTGAGAGTAAAACTGGTTTTTGTCCAGATCTTTGTAATTTGCATGTTTGCTTCGTTCTGTGCTGAGGTAATCGGGTGTTCACGACGCAGTGTACACAGCAGATGTAGCTCGTGGATCCTGGCCACCGAAAAGCCCTGTATAGCCTCTACTTCAAACGTGCATGCGGAAAATTTTGGATTGGCGTTAGATGGATTATCAACTTTTGGCATTGTGTACCAAAAACCACAGACAACACCTGCGGTTTCAGAACAGCATCAGTTTGCTAACTCCAGGATTGACAGAGCAGCGGTTGTACCGAATACACACCAGTATTTCAAGTCATATTCCCTTTTCTGCAATCACGAGGTGTTCTGGCGTCCTTGCTGAATCCCGAGCCTTGTACACAAACTTCTGACAAAAAGTTACCGCTATGTGATTGTCAACAGCTTCGTATACTTAACAAATGTCTTCCAAGTTTCAGATAACAACGGATCTGT